CTAAATCCATTATATGATCTGATTAAGAACAAGTTACAGTTGAATCATAATTTATAACAATAATTTGCAATGCAAAAAATAGTTCATTATATGAAATCAACAGATGTAATTAAAAACTACAACATTTTCTATGTTCCCGATTTTGTTGATTGAGTGCAATGATAATGACCAAATATTGAGCTTTCTATTGGATGTACAAGACAGAATACTATAAATAGAGTAACAAATTGCCAATAGGCTGTACGCATAGATACAATCTTATGAAAATACACAAGAAATCCTGATAGTTAATGATCAAAATTGACAAGACTGTTTTATACCATGAATGTGTAAAATTATTATACCCCCATGTTTATACAAAGTGACACATGCACTAGGCATACAATGTCCATTCAAAAGAATTGAGAGGAAAAAATTTGATGGCTTGATGTTAAGTATATTGCTCAAAAGGTTTCAAAATATAAATTTGAATGATTTTTTCCTTATTTTGTGACTACTTTATTTCGATACAATAAAAAAATAATCCATGTCCCCTTAATAGAGATTAAATTATATTGATTTGACCATTTTGCACTCAGAAAGTGTCCCTATCCCCTTAATAGGAGTTGGTGGTAGTGTTAAAAGCAGTGGCGGATCCAGCGGGGGCCATGAGGGGATCCTTGTTGATGTTGTACTAGAATACTAGAAGACTTAATATCATCACATAGCAGGTGGCTTGGTTCATTTGAACAAAGTGACATAATTTGGCTAAGGAGAATATCCGAGTCACTTCTTTCTCCACCAGCTTCGAAATAATTGATTTTGTTTATAATTACTGTAGGCCTGGGCTAGGTTACGTTTATATTTGAGTGGTGAATGCTGGAATTTGAAATTACAGGCTTAAAAAACATACTGTAAAACCAGGAAATTTCGTGCGCATTAAACTTTCGCGAATGGTCCAGATTCGCGAAAGTTTTATGCTGCGAATAATTTTCAGGTCACATTTTCTATGTTTCAAAAAAGGTTGGTAGAGTACTATCTGATCATCGTGAATGTTTCAGAAATGAGATTTTGGTCATTATAAATCACTAAATTACACCAAAAATTAATTTCAACTTTTTTTTAAAGCCGAATGAACAATAAACAGAAAGAATTGATCGGTATTTCAAGGCCTAAACTCACCGACGACGATGCAATGCCGATCTAGGGCCTAGCTAAATGGGGGAACCCCACAAATTGCAACATGGTTGGGAAGAGTTAACAACATTTTAAATATTGTATATATTTAATTATTTTGGTGGATTTTATTAAATGGTATAAACTTGATATAATAGAATGTATTTCAATTATTGAATCCTTATTCTGACCTTAAACTCCGATGTTGAGCTCGAAAAATTAATAAATTCTAGGCCTATTCTAAGTAAGTATACTGATCAGGGAGGTTCTGATCGTCACTGCATGTGATTGCCATGTGCAACCACCGCGCTGTGTATACTAGGAAGTTAAAATAGAAACTTTATTTTTGCACTATGACATACCACAATGTTCAGTGATCATCAATCAATGTGTAGAAAAATAATTTGTTAATAAAACATATTTTGATAAACACTGTTCATTGTAGGATGCTTGAATACCATACAAAATTTAGGAATATCGTATGAGTGAGTATTGTATGTGTGTAAACTTGTCTCTTTCTAAACTGTGCCTGGGATGGTCAGCTAAGTCCTGGTCCTCCAGCCAGCTGAGGGCTGCAGGCTTATGGTGCCTAGCCAAGGCCTAGCTATTGTAGCCTAGACGGTGGCTGTAGGCCTATCTCACCTAGGCCTAAAACTCATGATACGATATTTTCAGCTATTGTATGGTATTCCTCTCATGAATAAAATTTAGGCCTTCTGCAATTCGCGAAAGTTTAATGTCGCGAAAACGGCCGAAATTATCAATTTTGTGAAAGTTTCATGTCGCAAAAGTTTCTGGTTTTAATTACAGTAATTTCCTTTTTTCAAAAATTTCAAGGCAACCCTGCATATCCCAGCTAGTCCATTGTTGCACACCTACGCATGCAGTGTTTACAAACAATGTTATTGTTTTTTTTTGTTTTTTGTTTAGAAAGGAACATCTGGTTTCAAACTGATCCTTTTAAAAGGAATCGTACAGCATGCATTAAACTGTCTTGTTCTTATGTGTATGGTATAGTCTATGATAAAATTAAAATAGGTAGACAGACTGGTTGGCTGTTTACCATGACAAATGTGTTCAACAACCAATGAAAGTCTAAGATTATTTATGATACTTGGTCTTTTTAAATATTTTCGAAAAACACTGTTCCATATGAATCCTATTTCAACAGTTAATATTAAAATGCAACCAATTTGAATTAAACAAATACAACAATATTTTTCAAGCAAACAGCTTTAGTGTTAATGTTTTGAATTTTAAATTTCTAGGATGTAAACAAATTCATAGTAAACCTTTCCAGCAATAATGTTAAGGAAGTCATTGTTCAATTATAACCTTCAGAAGATGACCTAGTACTCTACAAAATGACTTTGAATACATTCAGTCATCACCTTCACAGCCACCAAGGTAGAGTTCATATATAGAGGGCTCACTTTATTGTAATGGTGATTAACATAATCTACAAACACTGTCTTTGATTTCGTCATTTGGTCAATTAAATGGATAATCAAAAGTGCAATTTATTTATATATACATTCTAAAGATTTAAATTACAATTATCACATTTTACATTGGTTTCATTATACAGTAATACATTTTAGAAAGGACTTGACAGAACTATTTTTAGATTTTTAATAAAAGCAGATGTATTTTTGTAGTCTCAGTTCGTTTGAATGTTTTCTATAGTGCTGTATCCACTGTAATAAATGACAATAATGACGTCAGGGCCACTAACGTTAAAATACAGCCTGTGTTGACCTATGAACTTGAATTATAAAATTCAACTTGCTCTGTAAATTCATCGAGAAAACATTTTACACACCAATCATAAGAAAAATTACCATTGTTCAATATTATTATTATTATAATTGACAATTAAAAAAAAACATTAATAATTTATTTAAATGTTTGAAGAATCATTTTTTTCACATTTAAAAAATGGTCAGCACAATACAGTCAGGAAATATAGCTTCGTATCTGTGTGTAACCACTCGTAGCCTGCTTGTAGGTACCGTTTGGAACATAGCTACGAACCACTACGAAGGTCATTGTTATTTTAATTAGCTTTGCAATGATCGTAGGCTGGATCGTCGGGCTGATAATCAATGCGTAAACAATATTGAAATATAGTTTACCAGCTTTCAACGCGTAAGCAATGTTGTAATTTACTAAATAAACAATGTTAGAACTTTATTGTTTTGTTATATCCTACCTTATTATTAAATCGATCATGTTTTAAAACTGTGTTTAGTTCGCTAGCTGGGTGGGTAACCTAGTGGGCATTCAGTATGTTCGAATTTCGATGTCATTTAGGCTTACGTACAGCCTACATTTCATTTCCCCTATAGAGGAGGAGAGCAGACAGTAGTTATACTGGTAAACTTTCCAATTCGGAGAATTTTGATCTGATATTATTCTTCTGGTAGTAGGAATTTTCTTCTTTAAAATAATACTGATGACAAATCATGTACAAATTATTACGATTTCTACAGATCACGTTGTTTATTGTTTACCGTAATTTGAAGCAGAACAACCTGCAAAGCGATCCAATACTAAATGGAAGTATAGAAATCACTACCTTGCCGAATTAAGGCTAGTCATGCTAGACCGCATTTACTCCGTTTTTTACTCACTGTTGCTCACAGTTTTTCAACATTTGCCACGAGGTTAACCTTTAACACACTTTACTGTGTTCTGATTGGCGCGCACTCTGACTCTCGTCTAATGCTGACTAAGTTTTATTTTCCATTGGTTTTTCCATGTGACATTCGGTAATTTTACAACCAACGGACGTTAATTCTCCTTTATATTTATTATTTATCTTACTAAATCAAGACTACAAAATATCATTTGATGAACAATCTTTTCACATGTATGTATTGCCATTGAGGACAGCCATTGAGGACATCATTTTTTGACATTTTAAATGAGGTAAAATAATTGTAAATGAAAAATAAGCTAGGCCTAGGCTAATTAATTAAAAAAAATAATACAGCAGTACAAACAAGTCCCTGTCGTGTACAGCGAGTGGAAGAGGAGACTCCCATGAAGTCAAGTGTACGTTTTTCTTATTGAAAAACAGTTCCATACTTTAAATTAACGGTCTAAATTCGTGTTTGCCATTCACAAATTATCAAACAATACATTGTTTATTCCAGTAAGCTGCAGCAGTCTTTCTGCACATACAAATAAACAACATGCTTTTGCTTCGTAGGTTCGCTTCGCGTAGCCTTGCTTAGATTGTTTATATCAGGCTACAAAGCCTGCGCGCAGGTTAGATTGTTTATATCAGGCTACGATATATCTACGAAGCCTGCGCGCAGGTAAAAGTGCAATATTTCATGACTGTACTGTACTTCACAATTTGGCTATCGAAAAACAAAAAACAAAACGCTACCCTATTGAAGCAGTTTCTTTTTTCTTTTTTCTGTAAATTCATTGAGAAAACATTTTACACACCAATCATAAGAAAAATTACCATTGTTCAATATTATTATTATTATAATTGGCAATTAAAAAAAAAACATTAACAATTTATTTGAATGTTTGAAGAATCATTTTTTTCACATTTAAACATGAAAGTAAAAAATGGTCAGTACTTCACAATTTGGCTATCGAAAAACAAAAAACAAAATGCTACTCTATTGAAGCAGTTTCTTTATATTTCAAACATTATCAATTTGACAACAAATGCTGTTATTGATTGGCAACACAATTTTCTTTTTTTTTGGTTTAATGGCTCATGACTACTTGGTTACCCACTGACAAAAACATTAGAGTATTCAAATTGAAGACAGTTAAATAAATCATAAGTAAACATGATCTTGTCATAATGAAATACTTACAGAGTACTCAATAGTGTTTTTAGGTTGATCAATTAAACTCTTGCGTTTTGAAAAAGGTGGTCGATTCGATTTCCCTGGATCTGAAAATATAATAATGTTCAAATCTGTAAACTTTTTAACCACTGGTCCTGTGAGCAATATGTTTCATGTGCATGTTAAAGAAAGTACAGTAGTACTCTATTCAGAAAACAGAAGGAATTGTCTCCCGGTGTACTGCCAACACAACACCAGAAGGACCACACTGGAAATAAGTTAATGGGTAATATTAATTATGATTCATAACAAAAAACAGTAGTCCTTAATTCGCACCTCTAGTATTGGCCACAATTTCTAGCCTATCCACACTATCTGCTGAATTACAACATTTACCAAGCCTAAACGGTAGAGTGGTTAGGAGGATAGGAGTACATTTGGTGAGAATCACACCAAGGATAACCCACTAAGTTCGAAGACTTGCTTCCAGTGGGGTCCTTCTGGTGGTGAATTTGGCAGTACACCAGGAGACAATGCCCTAGACTTTTCCGAAGCGTGTACTGCATTCTTTAACATGCACATGGGATCAACGGCTTAAATGTCTCATCCAAAAGACGGTGTGCTACTGTCGCTTTTAATTCAGACCTTTAGCTAAAACACAAGGAGAACATTATGGGAATTGAACCGGGGACCTGGAGATCTCAACGGTTCAGCGCACACACAGTGGCTACAACCAGTTTAACCAACTGAGCGAAGCTGATCTCATCCTAACGGTATCAGACCCACCTCCATTGAACATTGGGGCTAATTTTGGGGGGTGGACTTGTACTTGGGGAATCTCCATTTCAACCAAAGGCAATTTTTTAGCCACTGCAAGGCCAATATTTGACAGCTAAGCTACTCATTCAAACCATACCTTGGGCTCTTGCCTGAGGAAAAGCTGGTATGTGAAAGTGAGCATAAAGTAGAAGGTGGGCTTACACCCGCAGAACTATGGTACATGATTAATAAATATTATATTATGTTTAAATTAAATTTTGGTATACAAAATATAAAGGTCTTTCTTAATCAAACTTAATTGTCTGTAAATTATGAATAATTCCAATGCAAGTTTGTGGTTATGTTTTGCGAATTTCATTTGGCTGTAACTTGAGCTGTGATTAGCTGGTCAACAGACTTGGATGGCTGTTTGTTGTGTTCTGCTCCATAATTGTGGCGTTGTGACTTTGTGAACACAAAGACATAAGACAAGGAGACTGTCTATTAATGAAATATTAAAGGTCTGTCAGTGAATGTCATTAAAGATATACTGCCAACTGAATTAAAAGGTAAAGGCAGTCCCATATTCATTATTGAAGGGAATGAGTCTGTTAGCCCATCGTACTAAGCCTCGCTATTTTTTGGTAGGGTGGCCAGTTCCTTTCCATGCCGCCATGCCAGCTAAATTATAAACATTAAAAAAAGAATTTCTTAATTTGTACAGCTGAAAATAAGAAAAAAATTGTCTATTAAAATAAGAGTAATATAAGATAATATTATTCCTGTAGGCTTTGAATTTACACAAACAATTAACACTGGAATGGAGAAAGTGGTTTAGCATAGTGGCTTCAACCATGGTTTTTGATGCCTACATTAATTGTAATTGGGGAAGTGGCCCACAAACAATGCTATGATAGTGTAGAATTTTACTCAGTTTGGTAATGATTGGTCTTATATTTCCACAGCAGCAATGTATACTAGTGCTTTCTAATCCAATTTTAAGTACAAGACAATAACAAGAAAGAAAAACAACATAAGACATGAAGATGACTTATGACAAAAATTAGGGATACAAATCAAAGCTTAGAGACAAAAATGAAGATGGCTTAATGAAATTGGAAAGATGATTCCATAGAAAATATCTATCATTATTGGTTTTCAACCATCCAAAAGAACAATAAAGAATGGAGAACTGAATGATGGACCTGAGTAATTTGAAGACAGGAATGAACATGATATGAAATAACTGTGTATTAAACAACACCGTATGTTCTCATTAAAAAACTCAAAATAAAAAAATGTTTTGTATTATTAATATAGCAAACATTTTTAGGAATGTATCTGCTGGTTGTGTAAGTATAGAGTTAGATGATTTGATTTGAATGTATCTGTATCTCAAGTCGTTATAGTGGTTTTCTCTTTCCTTGTATTAATGAGTAAATAGGAAGACCCTTTCCTAACACTAATGTACTAATCATATATTTTCTAATTTGATTTATGTACTTTCTAAATTAATATTATCCCTAGTGTGCATTTCAGGAATATTCAGTAAGTTTTATTTTTCTGTCTTAATTGGAGAATTAATCATGCAAAACTTGCTAAATACTCTGGGGTTTATTCATATCCAAGTATGTACAGTTAACCCAAGACTTTTTTTATGACAGTAGAGTACAAAACATAGGCTAAGGGGTAGGGGGAGGGCAAGTTAACATTTCACAGTATCCTTTCAGGAATACGAAAGAAACAAACTAATGATCTGAGCACTATATTTTACAAGGGCAAGGTGAAAGTCACAGGACATTATGCTTTATATTTTCATGAAAATTATGAAACACAGGATGACGAAAGGGCACTGAGGATACAAGTAATATGACTCAGACTTGAACCAATGACCTGCAGATTGCCAACATAAAGCCCTACGCAGCTACACCACATGTTGAAATTAACACATAAAATCAAGGGACAATATGCTGGGTCTTACCTGATGCATGACGGATTCTAGTATCAAGATTGCTGATGCTTGGTAAGGGTAACGGGTGTGAAGCCACTGAACTATCTATAGTTTCCATAGTTATTGGCAGATAAATCTCTGATCCATCTTCTTTCTTAATAAGTAGTGTAAAGATGCCGTTTCTATAACATAAATAGTAACAATCTTGTTAATAAACAAATACAACTTTATAAATTTTGTTTCATTTTGAAAAAAATAATTTTTTATACATTTCAGTAAATAAATTACAATACATTCTTTTAAATAAAAACACATTTTATAAGAACACTGAGGCTGAAATTGCTTGAAAATTAAGAACATAAGAACAAGGTAAAATGTCAATTTTTTTATTTATTTATTTTTTTTCAATAGAAAAAACCAACAAATATTTCTGCACCCTATTTACAGTAGGTGTGACTATGTAACACCCTACAGTAATATACTGCTGTACATTTTTAATGTTTGAAAAATATGCAAAAATAAGAACAAAATACAGTAAGAACATTTTGAGCAAAATTGAAATCAGCAAAAAATAATAACACTGAAACTAGGCAAAATAAAGTGTATTGTGATACATTATATTTTTGTGATGCTTTATAAAGAGATGAATGCACATTATGCACATTAAGTTTATAGAATGGAGTATTTTTAGTTGCGACAAAATAATACCGACATTAATGATTTGGAAGATAAGTGTTAAACCAAGCTACAGGTCCATTACTAATGTGGTGGCTTAGGCCAAGTAACAAAAATTGCTTGTTTCCCGTCCCCGCGCGCGTCGATTTTTGGGCCCGCGTCGATTTTTTTGTTATTTGTTATTTTTCGAAATTTCGTTTTTTTGGTGTTTTTTTGTTAGTCTGAAAACGCGAAATGACGATATATGACGCATTTTATAGACTCAAGCAACGCAAAAAACCGCTCAAGCACGAAAATTGTGTGGTTACTATAAGTCGATTTTGACACGTTTCGAAGTTTACAAACGCAATTTTGCACGGAAGCAATCGTAACCGCGACTGAAAACGAGGCTATCTAGAGACAGCGTCACAGCAAAACAAACGATTTCTAAACATGTGAAAATGTTGACAATTAAGTCGAACCGACTCTAATGCAGTTCTCCGATGTTTGTGGGCCAAAACATTTGAAGAAAGCGATGACCATTGTTTAATGAACGATTCTATGGTGCTATAAACTCAGCAGAGGAGCAGTTATGTACGACAATGAAATGGCGAGTCACTTCTGGCCTACTAGTAGTAGTACTTAGGCTAGGCCTAGCGTAGGCCTACTACTACTAGGCCGCCTAGGGCCAGGCCTATATTAATTATTATATAGGAAACCTGACTATTATATTTGGAATAGGTAGTAAACTTAAAACGTTCTTCAGAATTCTCAGAAAGGCAGATTTGTTACAAACCGACTATATGAACATATTTATAGAGCTTAAAACATCGTACAGACCGATCTTTTTGTTCAGTCAATATAGACGCGATGAGTTAGGCCTAGGCTAGGCTACATAGGCCTAGGCTCGTAGGCCTACATCGGAAAATCCTTACGTCAACTCCTGCTCACCATTATGAGCCATATGCCCATTTTCCGAGTGGATAGTCCGATCATATGACCATTCATGTATCAATCAAGGCAGGAATATTATATTTTTCCTGAAGTAGCCTTGCATTGCACACTTTATTTGAACTTGAAGGACAGCCTTCTGATTCATGGACTTTTATTTCTTTGCCTAGCGCTAACTAACGGCACAGACCCGTCTGACCCGGGGCACTTTCCCTTATCGCCCGGACTCTTGGTGCCACTGGGGATTTGACTTTACTTTCTACCTTTCAAAATAAATGAAATGAAATGCAAAATTGTCACAAATATTTTATTTTTTTATTTTTTTGCAGATTGAAGTGAGTGTTGGTACCTCGAAGGAGGCACAGGATAGCTATCCCAAATACTGAAACCTTAAAAACAGTGCCAAGAATAGGAATACCAAATATGGATAGTGTTTTTTTTTTATTATTATGACGTGAATGTTTGCAATATAGGAATGACAGGAATCAAGAATACATTATTTTTTTATCGAACAAATATAGTGTACAATGAAAACAGCTGATTATTATTAATTATAATGTAAACAATTATTGGCATATATAATATGGCTAAATACTGGCGTTAATCTTTCTAAATCTGTAGGTACTGGTTGTATCTTATGATCCAATGATTAATTTAAATAATATACTTGTCTTGTAATGTGATATCTTGCCTAAAACCAAAAATGCCTGAAAACAGAAAACACAAGCAAATCAGATTAACAGTTACTATACAATATATAGGGTATTTTTGATTTTTTTTTTTTTTTCAATAAAAAAAATTAATGAATTTCATACTGTACCTTGTGTTTTTATATTGGTTGTCATGTCCTCTGGATGCTTTACTGTACGACTCTTTATGTGTGTGACTGTATGCGTATTTAAGTATTTTTTGACACGTGTACAAAAATAACAAATAACAAATAACAAGTGCCTCCCTCACCAACTTTTTGAAAGACTTGAACCAATGACCTGCAGATTGCCAACATAAAGCCCTACGCAGCTACACCACATGTTGAAATTAACACATAAAATCAAGGGACAATATGCTGGGTCTTACCTGATGCATGACGGATTCTAGTATCAAGATTGCTGATGCTTGGTAAGGGTAACGGGTGTGAAGCCACTGAACCATCTATAGTTTCCATAGTTATTGGCAGATAAATCTCTGATCCATCTTCTTTCTTAATAAGTAGTGTAAAGATGCCGTTTCTATAACATAAATAGTAACAATCTTGTTAATAAACAAATACAACTTTATAAATTTTGTTTCATTTTGAAAAAAATAGTTTTTTATACATTTCAGTAAATAAATTACAATACATTCTTTTAAATAAAAACACATTTTATAAGAACACTGAGGCTGAAGTTGCTTGAAAATTAAGAACAACATAAGAACAAGGTAAAATGTCAATTTTTTATTTTTTTTTTTTTTTCAATAGAAAAAACCAACAAATATTTCTGCACCCTATTTACAGTAGGTGTGACTATGTAACACCCTACAGTAATATACTGCTGTACATTTTTAATGTTTGAAAAATATGTAAAAATAAGAACAAAATACAGTAAGAACATTTTGAGCAACATTGAAATCAGCAAAAAATAATAACACTGAAACTAGGCAAAATAAAGTGTATTGTGATACATTATATTTTTGTGATGCTTTATAAAGAGATGAATGCACATTAAGTTTATAGAATGGAGTATTTTTAGTTGCGACAAAATAATACCGACATTAATGATTTGGAAGATAAGTGTTAAACCAAGCTACAGGTCCATTACTAATGTGGTGGCTTAATATTTTTTTATATACAGGAATCAAAATTTTTTTCCATATTTAAGGACAGATGGGCTTTAAATCAAATAGTAAACAAGTTCTATATCAAATTGAATATAAGGACATTAAAACCTCAAAAACACTGAACTGACATCATGATAAACACTGTATTTAATTGTGCTAGGTGGACAATGCTGTCTATTTGAGCCAGCAAAATGATGTGTACATGAAAAAAACAGTAGTTTCTTTAAATTTAAACCCCGTCAAAAAAGAACAAACACACAAGAAAAATTATTGTTTTGATTTTGCTCAAATTCATTCATACAGAATGTCAAATCACACAAAAACTTCAATTGATCATTATTAAAATCAATTAGAAATTTGTGAATTCATGTTGTTTACAGCAGGAACTGATTCAGCTTGCTGTATGAAATCCCTATGATGCTGCTAGGATTTATTTGCATGAGAAAATCAATTCCTTCACCACTGCTGCAGAAATCCAGGGACCAATAATTACGGTACCTGAAGGTTATGCCTCCATACTGTACAATCACACTTGCTAGCATGTTGTGAGCATGAAGTTCACACAATGTCATCAACCCTGCCTGAGTACTATACATTAAAATATTTTGGGTAAAAAAAACACTGTTATTGATGTATAAAACTGTAAACACTTTTCCAAAATAGATGAATTAATATCATTATTATTGTTAAGTATATCAATTTTTGACTTCGATTCTATCAACCTAGTAATGTATGAAACAAAATGTTAAAAATAAAAAACATACACCTGTACACAGGTGGGAAACTTCTTTCTAGAAAGCAGTATTATCCCATTTGAATAGATCAATATAGGAAACATATCAGATGGTCAATGTTGTTTTTACTACAATACATCAAACTAAGTCAGTGTAAATAAATCTAATAATGTTTGTAGCTGACTGGCCTGACAACCATACTAAGTTACATTAATAAGATGCTGGTGGTTTAATCAATACGGCAAGTTAAGCAAAATTTGCCTTACCGAACAGTGAAGTAGAAAGCATCTTGTTTCTGTTTAGTATACACCATGTTTCCCGTTTAAATCCAACTACTTAACTGACCTCAATATTGTTCAGACTTGTTTTTAAAGAATAATCCTTGCATTATGGGTAATTCAATTCCACAGGGTGACCTTAAATCTCAAAGTATTTAAACATCCTCCTAATCCATGAACCATGACCCTTTAAAGGTCTGAATATAAATAAGTAATTACAACTACAATGGTGAATTGTTGCTTGTTGTTGTTATCATGTACAGTTAATACAAAGAAATACGATTTAAGACAGATCACCTGCATTTATATATTTTTTTAAGGTTTTTTTTTAATGAATACTTTTTTATTTAGTTTTAAACATATACAAACAATATTTATATACAACATAGGAAGAACATAGAAGTTGGTCACTACTAAACTAAAATGATTAAAGCTGAAAAATGTTCTGGTACAATTTACTGCTGTAAACTGTCTTTAACAATTGGCCTGTGATAACTACTTGAGTTTATGAAATATAATGTTGCTACTTGTAAAATTTTATTAGTAGGATATATACTTACTAGAATTGATTACAAATAATAGTTCATAAATGTATAATTGTAAAGATGCTTAAAAATAATAGACAAAAAGAAGTCAGTAGTAATTTGACAATGTCACTTTTAAGGGGGCGGTTTCAAACGGGTATACATAATTAAACTTGTGTGACTACAAATCATTTGAACTACGGCTACACTGATGCTAACCATTCGCCAATGTCAAATTGCATCATTCGCCAAAATGACGAAAGCAAATTTTTATATGCTGTAAACAAATCCTCATCTAGGCTAGGCCTTGGCTCTTCTTAAGTAATTACAATCTCGAGCAGCGGACATCTCATACATGTACTGTACAGATCTACAGACACTGTCAACTTCATGTGGAAAGTCCCAGATATATTAAATCGTTTTGGGCATGCATATGGACATGGTTGGACAGTTTTGAAGCAAACAGTTTGATTATTGCTTGCACATGACACGCTGAAACTATCGTTCCTACGCTAAAGGAAACACTAAAACAATATTTCTTCGGTGATTTTGTTACTTAAAACATAGTTATTTATACTACTTAAAATAATACACATATTCTGAAAATCCGAATCTCCTAATTCCAAACGTATAATTCGGTCCAAACACAAAAATCAACTTCTAACATCAGACGATTCGTAATAAGAAATAACAAAACAACAAGCACAGGCCTACCAGATACCGTGAAAATGAACTGTCATGCCATGGAGATTGTTTGCCGTCATCTGCCGCCCCAAATATTCTGAAAATTAGGGGCAGGTTTTCTTTTTCCAAAAGAGTAAAAGATCAAATGTAAACCACCTTTTCGTCGATTTTGGCACAGATCCGTGTTATATATGAAAATTTTTACTATTTAAAATTTTTTTTTAAAACAAAAATATAATCGTTTTTTCGTGAAAAAAATGACAATCGCAGTTTTCACGATGTTTCTATGATTTTACGAAAAAAAAAAAAACTTTTTCCCAACCGCCCCTGTATTCAAACTTTAACAATGTGACAGCAAACAAACAAATTTTTGTTTAGGCCTTATAATAAATTGATTAAAATGACATGCCAGTAATTGTTCAATAAAATGAAAGTTAAGCTTCCAAGTTTCACCAAACAAAACTCAAAGTATGTTCCTGCGGGTGATTCTTTTCAGTAACCTGAAATTTAAATCGAATTCAGACGTCGTTAGATTCGTCAGTGTAGATCAATTTTCACGCAACACACTCATCACACACGCCGCCACATTGGTCCTCGGCGTTGTGTGGTTGGAGGTTCAAATTTGATCATTTAATTTATACCCTATCTATAAAAAATGAAACCATGATGGTAGGCCTGAAGTACCGGTTGGGTGATTTTTTAATTACCAAAACACACAGTAGTTGCTGACTGAATGCCTAGGCCCAGTGTAGGCTAGGTAGGACCAGACCCAGTTTGACAGCACTAGGCCTACACACCCGAAACCGCGGCTACTCTAACGTGTAAAATTCCCGGCCCTTCCGAGGCCTGTTACATCTACGGGTAAATTTTAGGTACGTCCCGGCACTACGGGGACACAACTATGTGTACATTCCCGGCTCGACTACAATTGACAAGTGCATAATAATAATAATCCTGCAAGTTTCATGGAAGTTTGGTTTTCCAACCTTGAGGCCAGGTTTTTTAATCCATCACTCAAGTGCATGAACCCAACTTTAATGTAGTGACAAACGCTTTGAAAAAATCGAAACATTTAGAGACAGCTGTATAATGAGCCTTATAAATCCACTGGCTGATTGATAATAATAATAATAATTTATTTGACATTTCACTTTTATAACAGTGGCAACACACAATTAGGTGGTGCAGTCAAACTTAAACTAAGAAAGGAAAAAAAAAGAACAAATTGCTCTTATTAAAGAACTATATAATCAATTTAAACAAGGCTTAACAAAAGTACCTATGAAAACTAAGCAATGGGTTAAACAAAATACTGTGGTGCAAAAAAAAAAAAAAAAAAAATCAAATTGCTTGAGTTAAAGAAAACATAATCAACTTACACAAAGCTTAACAAAAGTATCAATTAAACAAAATTAGAATTAAACAAAAACAAAAGGCTTAACAATTAGTCCTATTAAATACCGAAGAACAAGGGAAAGTAACTTAAAGCAACAATGTAAAATCCAATTGATTTTCCCATGGGAGTGTTACTTCAGTGTGAGTTGCAAGTTGGAAAAAATGTGAGTTGCGAGTTGGAAAATGCAAGTTGCGAGTGGGAAAGTGCTAGTTGTGAGTCGGACACTCACAACTAGCATTTTCCACCTCGCAACTCACACAAAAGGAAGAAACCCTCCTCCCATAGCCAAAGTAAAGTGAGGCAAATCTTTCATGTTAACATACTGAGAAAGGAACTCTGAATACTGTAATCCGATTCTTCCTCATTGACAGGTTAGAAATAGAGAGGTACATTGTTTATGTGGTTAATTCAGTTACAATAGACTAGTTTCGATGTTTATTTCCTATCTTTAATCTCACTAGTTCAAGTTGGTTCAAGGCATAATCAAATGAAAGGGTCAAAATGACTGAGTTAACAAGACTACCATCACCTATTCAAAAAAATTAGGTCAATAGCCTATTACACACTGAGACAACTAACTGTATCAGCATAGTCCAGTTCTAACAAAAGGCACAAACAGTAACTACTGTAACTAAAATATAAACTAGTACAGTAGTACAGTAAAACGTCCATTTTACGTATCCCTTCGTACCAAGGGGTGTTTGTAAATTGAAAAATTTGTAAACTAGATCTGGTGTCAGTTTCCAATACCTAGGCCTAGCTATCCCCTGCCATTGTGCGTTGCCAAGGCTAGCA